TTCTACTTCCAGGTGTGTGGGATACATCATGGTTACATAAAAATCCTTTCACTATAGTTCCTACTTCTCTGTCTTCAAAGTGATTCCCTGAAGACTTCTGCCATGAAAGTCTAAAGCCTGACCTCTGAACTGTGGATGGAAAATTGAACTCCTTGATGTGATCTCTGCACATCATGCAACCCTAAACCTAAATATTCTCTGTGTGGGAGCCCCCTTATGTTCCTTTTTAGTCTAATGCATTTTAAGTGGTCTTAACAAATTCTATTTTGTTTCATTTTATATGATCGACTTTACCTTGTTTTCTTTGACTATTACTTGTTGTCTTATAGGAGATTCTACTGGTCTCAAGGTTTAAACCTCACAATCTTCAGGGGCTGATGGATTTCTCTCTGTTTTCTAAGTTCCCTGGGATATGTTTGATGAGGTTTGGGGGCAGAGAAGCAGAGAAAGGAGAAAGGTGGTATCTATACTACTTCCTTTTTCTCTCCAGCCACAAATTCCAGAGTCTATAAAGAGACCCTGAGAAGCAAGCTCTGTGCAGAGTCACTTCTAAGAAATACCAGGATAAAGTGTAGGTGAGAGAAATTTGTGTGAAAAAAGGGATGAGAAAGAGGAGGAAGGATTGAGAACATTTTCAAGGCAGAAAGGGACCTGTATCTTCTAATTTGGCAAAATAGGAGAGGTAGGTAGGAGATGGGATTGCTCTCCTACCTATCTTGCCTTTTGGATGGAGATTAATAACACAGCCCCGGAGAAAGTGATCCTTAGGAAGCCCAAATGATTGAAAACAACCCTGGAGTATACCAACTGGACAAGTTGGGGTGAAGGAGACCTAGTTATTGTAATATATAGGTAGAGATTGTGGTTGTGAGACTGTTGGGTGATTAACTCATAGATGTTCCTAAATCATCTGTCAGCTAAAATAGCTCTCATTAGGAATGCTTGAAAGGTTTCAAAGAACACGTCAGTAGCAATGAGTACACCTAGGACCTAGATCTGGGCTTCAAAATATCATTCTCCACTAAAAGAATCTGGGTCTCCTTGCAAAAGTGTCTGATTCCAGGTCCAGGGCATGAAAAGTACAAAGTGAACTTGGAACATTTCTGTGCCCCAAAGCAAGGAAGTGGTCAAAGAATAAAGGGGACATGTTGCAAAGGACTCAGGAGCCTGCTTGAAGAGGCTTCCATTAGCTACATTTGAGACAATTTGAACATCATCATGACTATTGATAATAATGGCATATAACCTAGATAACAAAATGAAAATCTGTAAGTCCACACTAATATAAGTAAAGAAATGAGGAAATAAATGATGGAGAAGTGAACTCTCTTCCTTATAGCAAAATCCCAAAGAATAAAGGTAGAGAAATGATGGACTTAGAAAATCACCATTTTGCAGTCCCTATAGTAATAATTGTTTCAGGTAAAAATAAATGAATTCGAAAATCAGAGTATGATGAAAACTAGGATACTTACCATACATTTTCTCAAAGTGCATCTCTACAATATATTTATTAATTTCAAAGAAAAAACTTTCTTTACATTGGATAAACCTGGTAGAAATAACCTCGACCGTATGATCAAAGTTCACATCACTAATAATGGGACACATAGACATCAAGTGCTTCCTGAGAAGGACATAACAACATTTCTATGATATTTCTGTCAGGAATACATAATCTGAATCTAATCATGAAGGGGTAATCAGACTAACCCAAATCAAAGGATTGTCTACACAGTAACTAGTTTGAATTATTCAAATATTGAGATCTTGAAATACAAGAAAGAATGAACTGTTTCAGATTAAAGAAGACCAAACAGACATGACAACCAAAGGTAACTTGTGATTCTGGATTTATCCTTGGACAATGTAAAGCACATTAGTGGGACAACTGGCAAAATCTGCGTAAGTAATTTGTCTACAAATTGTTCACAGATTGGATAATAGTTTTGGTATTGGTAATGGTAATGATAGTATATTGGTGTTAATTGTCTGATTTTGGTAATTGCACTGTGATTATTGAAGAGAATATCATGGGTTTTAGAAGCTACAACTGCAGTATGTAAAGCTAAAGAAATATCCTGTCTGAAATTTGCTATCTGGGACCTATATCTTCTAAACTGGTGGAATAGGTAGGAGAGGTAGATAGGAAGAATTTGTTTTAGGAAACAAATTGTATATCTTTGTATATGTGAATGACAAAGAAAGTCTGATAAGATGATAATACTAGAGGAATATTTGAGATGTACATGGAAATTCTTTATATTATTACAAGTTTCCTGGATGTATAAAATTATTCCAAAATTAAAAGTTACCCCATGTCTTAGTAGGTTTTCTGTTGCTATAGCAGAGTACCACAGACTGGGTAATTTACAAATAATAGAGGTTTATTTAACTCATGGTTCTGGAGACTGGAAAGTCCAAGATCAAGGGGCAGCATCTGATGAGGGCTTTCTTGCTGTGTCATAACATGGTGGAAAACATCATATGGAGAGGAAGGACAGGGGAGGTTTAAAGCATGCATGAGACAGAGAGAAAAGGGAGACTGAACTTCTGAGAGAGCTAACTCACTTCCTCAATAATAGCATTAATCCACTGTGGGTTTTGCCCTCATGGCCTAATCACCTCTTAAAGATCCCACTTCTTAATGTCATCACAATGGCAATTAAAGTCAACAGGAGTTTTAAAGGGGACATTCAAACTATAGCACCCTATAAAGACTTTACAGAGGCAGTTTTAAAAGTATGTGTCAGCTTTGAGGCAAGATAGCTTTGCATGAGTTTGGGCAGAAGAATATGGGGACAGGTCAAGCTTTGGAGCCTTGTTTCCTAGAGAAAATTACATTATATTTATTTTGTAATCAAAAGCCAAATGAGTTTTTAAAAGAATAAAATTTACCCTTCAAGTTTAACAACAACAAAAATATCAGGTTTAACGATGTGAATATAGGATGAAAAAGATTTTGAAATGTAAAAACAGTTAGAAGGTATATCTGTGTTCAAAGGGAGTTCTAACTAATCCTAGAGACCAGATGTATGCATCCTCTTACTGCCATTACTGTGATGTTGTCTGAGGCCTGGAGAGTCAGACAGAGGAATACACAGAATTAAATCAAATGTCATTTAAATATGTATAAGATTTGTCATGGGAACCTACAGCAAGACTCTGAAAGGTGATCAGAATGGAACCAGGCAGTAACTGAATTAGTTAAATTTAATAAAGCATTCAAATTGTCTCATTGAGGATACTGCAGGCTTAAACCAGTTTGAAGAAATAGAAAATGTGTAACTTGAATTCTAGGGGCCATAAAATTGACCTATTTGGAGGGCATGGGCTTGTATTCCCTAGTGGCAGAGTGACTCTACAGGAGAGTTGCTCTTACCTATCGGTAGTCTGTGGAGAGTCAGCCTGGCCAAAGCCTCTGGCCAGTAAGAAACCTGAGCATGCCAAGATAGTCACCACAATTCATTTGAGATGATAAACTTTAACTTGCTTTCTTTAATAAATAAAATTTGTTTTACAAAAGGGAAACATCCATTAATCTTACAGATAATGACTTGAACCTCCAATGTTAATATTTTTCTATTAATTTAACTATAATGGTACACATTTGGATTTAAAGAGAATTGGATGTATTGTAAACATACATCCTTGTGATTCCAAGTTAAAATATGTAGTTTCATAACTTATTTGATTTATGATTCTTAATCTGAAATGCATAAGATATTTTAGTAAGTTTATCATGTTGATTATTTAAGAGGCTTAGAATTCACCGTATTTTAAGTTCGGTATATTGAATTCAGTTAAATATTTAAGTGGGTTCCAAAAAGTTTCCTTGTAGTAACATTTAAAAAATGTATGGCCAGGCATGGTGACTCATGCCTGTAATTCCAGCACTTTGGGAGGCCGAGGCAGGTGGATCACGAGGTCAGGAGATCAAGACCATCCTGGCTGACACGGTGAAACCCCATCTCTACTAAAAATATAAAAAAATTAGCCCCAAAAATATATTTAAAAATATATTTAAAAAGATAA